AACTGTTCATAGATTAGACTATCTCTTGAGTGCAACTGAAAGTTGATGGCTCATTCTTTTGAAAGGAAGCAAATGAGGCATGATCTAGGTGTAATGAGCCTGGGAATAAATTGGGTGGTCATTTTAAATGGTCATTATGTCTAATTGTTCTAGATAAACCTCTTTTGTTGGCAAAGAACAGAAGTCTTTCAAACCAACTCAAGTGAAAAGGGAACAGGAGAATTGTAAGATTACAGCAGGAGACCTCTTGGATATTCAAAAGCAATTCCTGGGCCAGGACCCTTCGTATGACTTAGGACCTAAACATCTCTTCTTCTTAAATATCTGCTTCATTCTTTCTTTCAATCCACCTATTCTTTTTATTCATCCTGAGCATGGTTTATTATGACTGCCCAGATGCCTTCCTCAGCATGAAAAATTTTCATTTCCAGCATCTATCATTGATTACAAAGAGCTCTGGTAGCGTAGTGGTTACGAGTGGGGCTATTAACATCAAAGTCAGCAGTTCTAAACTACCAGTTGTTCTGTGGAAGAAAAATGAGGCTTTCTGATCCTGTAAAGATTTACAGCCTTAGAAACTCTATGCAGGGTCGCTATGAGTCAGAAACGACTCCATGGCACATAACCACCACACCACCACCATCATTGACTACATCCTCTCTAGTTTTCAATGGAAAGGTTTAAAAGAAATAGACTCTTTAGTAGAAGACCAGGCAGTTCATTGACTGGCTTAGGTCAGGTATTCATCCCAATCTAATTAACTGTCACTCAAAAGTGATATTGTCCTGCATTGGGAGCTCTGCACAGGGCAATCTAAACTAAAAGAGGAAATAAACTGATAAGGTTCATGCTCTACAGTCATTCATTAGACTGTACAGTTCGTGTCTTTTGATCTGTTTCTACACCTCTAAGAAGGACTTATTCTAAAACAACTGCTTTATTAAGTACCATTGAGTCCGTTCCAACTCAGAATGATCCTGTATAGGGTTTCCAAGGAGCAGTTGGTAGGTTTGAATCGTCAACCTTGTGGTTAGCAGTCCAGTGCTCATCCTACAGCGTCACACCAGGACTCCAAAAGAGCTATAATATCCTGAAAAAAAGGTGATTCTACAGTGAACATTGACTTTACTACCTCTTAAACTTTCTGACTTTCAATTTCTCACCTGTGTTGTTGTTGATGGTTGGTACTGTCTAGTCAATTCCAACTCGTAGTGACCCCATGTGACAGAGTAGAACTGCTTATAGGGTTTTCTTTGCTGTTGTCTTTAAGGACGTAGATCATCAGTACAATCCAGAGCTGCTGGATTGGTTCAACTGTCAACCTTTCAGTTAGCAGCCAAGTGCTTAAGTTAAGGCATGGGGCTAATAGTGCCTACCTATCACGGTTGTCTAGAACATAAATGAGATGGGGTAGATGACATTCTCTACTTAGTGCAAGACCAGGGCTTAGTAAATGGAATGGCTTTAATTTCTTTGATATTTGTAAATATTCCATAATAGAACATTATCTACATGCATTTATACTTATTTTTAATTGAACAAGTAATATATGAATATATATGACTGTTTTAAGACAAATCCTAGGAATTATATGATCTCTCTGGTAGACATACTACTGCAAAAGGCTTTAATAGACAAAAGTCTTTTTGAAAACACATAACCACGATACCAATGCCATGGATAAAACATTAAAAATCATTCTTTGATATCAGCAATACTACATCTGTGTTCTGTTTCCCTCATTAGTGTCATAAACACATTTTTCTGATTGGTTGGCTTGAATCAAAATCCAAAAGAAGTACACACATTACATTTGGTTGCTGTGTCTTACACGTCATAGTTGATTTGCAATCATTGTCCTTGCCCTTTAGTGCCATCTATTTGTTGGAAAAAATGGGGCCATTATTCCTGTCAACTGTTCCATTTAAGAATTTGGATGATTGTACCCTCATGGCATCATTTAACTGGTTCTTCGAGCCCCATGTTTCCTGAAAACTGATACATAGATCTAGGGACTTAATTAAATTTAGACTTAATTTATTCTTTTCTGGGAAAATGATTAAATAAATGTTTTTATAGCATCTTTTTATGTTTTATAAGTTGTGATTTTGAAATAGCAATTCAATAATCCCCATGGCTAATTTTTAATTAGGAACACAAGACTCTCACAAAAGAAGTGATAACTCTGGATAGTAACTCATGTAGCAGTGAATCACTTTTACTCAGAGAATTCCAGGTACTTATGACTGCTCCTTGTCTGAAAACTACAGATAAAAGTCATAATCACCATCTATTACTAATTTATTTACAGGCATCTTTGCTGAAGATGTTCACAGACTTTAAAGATATCAATTCTTTGTTTACATTTGAAACTACAAATAACAAAGTTTGAAATGACTAATGAATAGAGAGGAGTCTTGGTGTATGATAAGCACTGGACTGCTAACTACAAGGTTGGTGGTTCAAACCCACCTGTCACTGTTTGGAAACCCTATACAGTGTCACTAAGAGCCAGAACCGACTTGATGGCACTCATAACAGTAATGAATAGAGAAGATACCAGAAGAAAAGAGAACTTACTTTGAAACTTCTGTGTGTTTTTTGTTTTCTTTTTAATGGTTGTTTAAAATGAACTGGTAGGTGTATTCAGGAATCCTGGTGTGGTGTTGTAGAATAAGCAATGGACTGCTAACCAAAAGGTCGGTAGTTCAAACCCACCACCTGCTCCTTGGAAACTCTATACAGGGTCATTATGAGTTGGAACCAATTCAACAACACTTAACAACAATAGAATGAACTAATACAAATTTGTGTTGTGGAAACACAAACCCAGCTACACTGATGAAGGACTAGAACTGACTCAAAAGTACATAACAATAGCACAATAAACAATATCCCTCTCTTCCCTAGCTGAGTTTGGAACAGAGAGCTAGGTATAAAAATGAAACAGATGGTAATAAAACTTAAGTGTTTCTATGGTTGATAAAGCTGTTTGGACTTAGGTCTATTGCAACTATGAGCCTGCAGACACTCTCTGATAGCCTATATCTGATGTTTGTTAAGTTGTTTAGTGCCTTTGAGTCGGTTACGACTCATAGTGACCCTATATAGGGTTTCCGAAGAGCAGTTGGTGGGTTAGAACCATCAACTTTGTGGTTCAAACCGACCTTGCGGTCTAGTGCTTATCGTACAGCACTACACTAACACTCTGTATTAGACCATTACCTTATTTAAAGGCACTTGTGGTTACGAATTGGGCTGCGAACTGTAAGGTCAGCAGTTCGAAACTACCAGCTGTCCTGCAGGAGAAAGATGAGGCTTTCTGTTCCCATAAAGATATACAGCCTCAGAAACCCTATACAGGGTCACTATGAGTCGGAACCGACTCCACAGCACACGACAACAACAACAGACAACCACAGGCCTCCCTGAGCCCAACGCACGTGCCAGGTTCTTTTCCCCAAACTCGCCACTTAATAGCTCACTGTTCCTTCTCTGGTAGGAGGCAAAAAGTGAGTGAGGAGACAGGACATGGACAAGAGTGAACTCAGTGGAGGTCTCTCAACATGGAATTGCTAAGGTCCAAGATACAAGAGCATATCATAGGTTGAACCCAGTTTCAACACAGCATTTTCAGCAATGAACAAATATCCTCACATTTAGCCTGTCCCAATTTCACATTATAGCAGCTCATGTTCAACTGAACAAAAGTTTGTGGAGTGTGTGCAAATCACAATGCTGCTAAATGCCAAAGACATAATCATTTACACTTTTTGGCTATCGTGCATAATATTGCAATGAACATTAGTGTACAACTATCTGTCTGACTCCCTGTTTTCAAGTCTCTTCAGCATAAACCTAGGAGTGGAAATACTGGGTTATACGATAGTTCTATATTTAACTTTCTGAAAAACTGCCAAACTTAACTGCACACCGGATGTACCATTTTACATTCCCATTGGCTGTATACAAGGGTTTCGATTTCTTCCTGTCCTCTCCAACATTTCTTAGCGTTTGATGTTCTAATCACAGTCATCTAGCGGATGTGAAATAGCATCTTATTGTGGTTTTAATTTGCATCATCCTAATGACTAGCCTGGAGTCCTGGTGTGGCGCTGTGGATTAATGCGTCAGACAGCAAAGTCATTTGAACTGCAAGGTTGGTGGTTCAAGCTCACCAGTCGCTCCTTGGAAACCCTATACAGGGTCACTATGGGTCGGAACCAACTCAACGGCACTTCACAACAACAACAATGACTAGCCTAGTATGGTGCTGTAGGATAAGCACTGGACTGGTAACTGAGAGGTTGGCAATTCAAACCCACCAGCCGCTGTGAGAAACCCTATACAGGGTTGCTATGAGTGGGAAATGACTCGATGGTACGCAACAACAACAACAATGACTATCAATTTTGAACACCTTTTTTATGTGCTTACTGGTCATTGGTGTATCTTCTTGAAGAGATGTCCATTCAGGTCAAATCCTTAGCTTGCTTTTTATTGTGTTGTCTTTTTGTTGTTAAGTTGTTAATATGTAGGAGTTGTTAAGTTGTAGGAGTTCTGGATTTTAAACCCTTGTCACATATATGGTTTCCAGATATTTTCTTCTGGGTTGTCTAGTCACGTTTTTGATAAAGTGCACAAAATGTATTATTTGATGCACAAAATGTGTTCATTTTTAGGACGTTCAATTGATCTGTTTTGTCTTTGGTTGCTCAAGGTTTTGGTGTTAATCTAAGGTGTTGTCAAAAACAACGTCTTGATGTTTTTTCTCCTAAGAGTTTTGTGGGTTTCTTACTTTTATTTAGGTCAAAGATCTGTTTTGGGTTCATTTTTGTGTATGGTGTGAAGTACTGGTCTAATTTTATCTTTTTGCATTTGGAGTATCTCCATAAATTTCGTACTCTAGGTGCCTCACTTGCCTCACCCTAGTCCTGGCCGTGGAATCCATAATACAAACAAGCAGTTTACACAGTCTGTTTCTCTCTTTCCTGGCCCAGGTACAAAGCCATCGTCCGACCAATGGATATCCAGGCTTCTCATGCTCTCATGAAGATCTGCCTCAAAGCTGCCTTCATCTGGGTCATCTCCATGCTTCTGGCCATCCCGGAAGCTGTGTTTTCTGACCTGCATCCCTTCCATGAGGAAAGCACCAACCAGACCTTCATTAGCTGTGCCCCATACCCACATTCCAATGAGCTGCACCCCAAAATCCACTCTATGGCTTCTTTCCTGGTCTTCTACATCATTCCACTGTCCATTATCTCTGTCTACTACTACTTCATTGCCAAAAATCTGATTCAGAGTGCTTACAATCTGCCTGTGGAAGGGAATATCCACGTCAAGAAGCAGGTGGGTACTAAAGATGGGTTGATAAACTCCTGGGAAATTGTGGTCCTTTGCATTTATTTTGGGCCCCGCTGACAAGGACAGTATTTAGGTGGACAACGCCACTTGATTCTGCAATTAGAGGAGGTGGGTTAACTGGGAACAGATGGCGAAAGGCAACTCCTAGCTGCTGGAGCCAAGGAATTCAGGTATTCTTCATCATTTTGTTCTCGTGTTCAAGGCCTGGACTAGGGAGATGTTGAGAACCTGCCTGACAGATAGGAACTGCTGACTTCTTCCTGAGAAATATCTGAAAAAGTATTGGTTTTTTGTTGTTTTTTAATAACAGCTTTGAGACTCAAAGGGCTGTGACTTCGTTAAACCCTAGTCATACTGTCTGGATAAAAAGAGAGGGACACCAAATGGAAAGAAGGTAGAGAGGGCAAGAAAATGAAGTGGGTTGAAGAAAAACCATCATTTGGTCAAGATAGGTTCACACTGATTTGTGTCCAAAACCAGGCTTCATGATTTGCTCTCTGACCCTCTCTGAGCCCACTTCTCTTATCCATAACACAGTGTTGTTGTTGGATGCTATTGAATTGTTTCCAACTCACAGCAACATCATGTGATAGAGGATTTGTTGCCTATAATCTTTACAGGAGCAGATCACCAGAGATGCTGGGTGGATTCAAACTGCCAACCTTTTAGTTAGCAACTGAGCTCTTAACCACTGCACCATCACTTCATTGTTGTTTTGTTAAGTGCCATGAGTGGGTTCAAACCCATAGTGACCCTGTATAGAGTTTCCTAGGAGCAGCTGGTGAGCTTAAACTACTGACCTTGTGGTTCAAACTGATTTTGCAGTCCAGCGCATTAAGCCACAGCACCACATCACAGGACTCCACACTATCAGTAATGACCCCCATATTGTAAAGCTGTTGAAAAATTACCAGGGAGAGCACAAGTAAGCCTAGAGTGCCCAGCCTGCTGGGTACCCTTGTACAGACCATTAGACTCCCTGTGTAGAAACCAGAGTCTTGGGATACCTCCTCTTTGTCAGTTCCTCTGGCCTTCTGTCCCAGAAGTAGATTACTGGTTTTATGACGGAAAGGCAGAAAGACTCCCCACCCTACTTGAATGAATAGCTTAGTCAGTTGGAGGCCTCACCCTGGAAAGTTGATTTCTTTTGCATCAATTGTTGGAGAAGAGTGGCAGTTCTCAGTGAAACCAGCTCCCTACTTGAGACGCTGCTCATTAGAGGGCTCCCATTGTTCCATAAATTCTTTAATGAGAAACATGGTTCCCTTGCCATAGCTGAAGGAGTTAGGAGCAAAAACAGAGGCTCAGACTACATCATCTAAGAACCTTCCTGTATAGTATAGAACAAAAATAACTTAACAACAACAACAACAACACAACTTATAGCGAGTTAGAGTTAGGTTTGGCCAACGAGGAAGATCAAAACTGGCTGCTTTGAGCATCTGAGGGAATAAGAAATTACTAACCATGGAGCAAAAGAAAGACATGATGTTGTATGACTGATAAAACACACAAAGGGTCTCCTGAGGAAAAGGAGGCACTTACTAGAATTTCATTGTGCAATCCATTCAAGCACTTAATCAATTTTGTGTAAAGATCTGTTCTTGGAGGCATGTTCTCACTATACTCTACTTTGTGAATTTCTACTTCCTGGCTCTTCTATCTTTGTATGTCTGTCTGGTTTTTGTTGTTGTTGTTGTTTCTCTCTGTTTCTGTGGTCTTTCTCTCATTTTATTGGATTCTCCTGTCCTCTGCTACTAAACTTTTCTTTTCCCTGTGATTTTGTGAATCTATCTCTCTTATTAACCTAATTTTTTTTTGCCCCATTCCTTTATCCATCTATATCCTTGTCTCACTCTGTGTGACTCACTCCCCAGATTGAATCCCGGAAGCGACTTGCCAAGACCGTGCTGGTGTTTGTGGCCCTCTTTGCCTTCTGCTGGCTCCCCAACCACATCATCTACCTATATCGTTCCTACCACTACTCTAAGGTGGACACCTCCATGCTCCACTTCATCACCAGCATCTGTGCCCGCCTCCTGGCCTTCACCAACTCCTGTGTGAACCCCTTCGCCCTCTACCTGCTGAGCAAGAGCTTCCGGAAACAATTCAACACCCAGCTCCTCTGCTGCCGACCTGGCCTGCTGGTACGCTCACACAGCACAGCTAGGAGTACCACCTGTATGACCTCCTTCAAGACCACCAACCCCTCTGTGGCCACCTTCAGCCTCATCAATGGTAATATCTGTCATGAGGGGTACGTCTAGTTGATCCTCAGCCCTGTCCCCGAGGTTTTGCCTTGAGGCTGGTCAGGCCCTTTGCATCTGCTACTGTCTCTGTATGTACCTTCCAAAGACCCTTGGAATTGGTCTAGGAGAGTGGAGGGGAGACTATTCCATTTTTAAAGGGACCATCAAGGCTTACATTTTCCATTCCAACTTGTGAATGCTTCTTCTGATATAGGGTAAACATTCCCTTTTTAAGAAAAGGGAACAGATAGGGAATTCTTATTTTTAGCATCAAGCCCTGAATGTATCAGATGTGGTCATTTAAGTCATTGAAACACTATGAACAACCCGCTTTATGTGGCAAAGAACTCAGAAGTCAGTGCCCACTTTGTGAAAGGCTTTCTTTTGTCATTTCTTTACTAGAAGCTCCTGCTTTCAAAACACAATTTGATTCTTTGTTTCAGGAGTGTCTATGATCCATAAGGAGCTCTGGTAGTGTAGTGGTTACTGATTGGGCTGTGAACCGCAAGGTCAGCAGTTCAAAACTACCAGCTGTTCCGCGGGAAAAAGATGAGGCTTTCTGTTCCCGTAAAGATTTACAGCCTCAGAAACCCTGTGCAGGGTCACTATGAGTCAGAACCGACTCCACGGTACTTAACAACAACAACAACAACTTAAGGCATAGGAGAAGCACGCAGTACATAATTTTAACGCATAAACATAGCCAAGCACATATGAAAATCCATGGGTGGTTATGCAGTGATGTCTTGCAATCTGAAGTTAAATTCAATGGTGGTTGGTGGTTGGTGGTGATGTGCCATGGAGTTGGTTCCGACTCAAGCAACCCTGTATAGCATTTGTGAGGCTGTAAATTTTTACGGGAGCAGAAAGCCTCATCTTTCTCCACATAGTTTTGAACAGCTGACCTTGAGGTTAGCAGCCTGACTCGTAGCCACTACGCTACCAGAGCCCTTTTGCTAATACCTAATCTTTGTCATCCATGGTGCAGTTATACCATGGAAGTTCCTTTTTTGGGGAAAAATTGATCACACAATCTATTTATCATCTATTTATTAGTACAAAAAATACAATGTTTATTCTTGGTATACAGTTTTTCAAGCAAGTGTATTTACTTAGATTTGACCATCCTTGTCTGCTGCATTGGAGTCTCTGGGTGGTGGTACAGTTACACACTATGCTGCTAACCAAGAAGTTGGAGGTTCTAGTCTACCCAGAGACACTGCCTCATAAGAAAGACCTGGTGATTTACTTCTGAAAAACCAGTTTTTGTTAAAATTCTCTGGAGCATTGAAAATCCTTTGGAGGGGTTCTACTTGGACATACATGGGGGTCACCATGAGTAGAATTCAATTGGACCACAACTGGCGTCTGCTATGTTGCAGCAGTACATGAGAAAAGAAAGGATTGTATTTGAGGGGAAATAGAAACATGTTTCTATGTAACGTACGTTTCGTCTAACATTTATGGGCAGAAATGTAAAAAGAAGTCCCTTTATAATGTTTCAGTAATGCGGATTTTTTAGTATGTATGAAAAAGTTGCAAGGAGCTCTGGAAGCATAGTGGTTACAAGTCAGGCTGTAGTTCGAAACTCCCAGCTGTTCCGCGGGAGAAACATGAGGCTGTCTGCTCCTGTGAAGATTTACAACCTTGGAAACCCTATACCGGCTTGCTATGAGTCGAAACTGACTCCACGGCACATAACCACCACCAACACTGTCTCACAGTGGTAGTGTTTTTCAGTATGAAATGGCCCATGTCCAGAAAAAGATTGGAATGAAATCTTTTTCTTAAGTGAGTAAAATTAACTCTAAAGAATTGACTTCCTTATTTTAGACACCCTGAATGGAGTTTTTCCGGACTCCAGGACAGGTGCATGCTAACCCACTTCTTTGTTATTGTTGTTGTTAAGTGCCGTCGAGTCAGTTCTGGTTCATAGCAATCCTTTATAGGGTTTTCGAGGAGCGGCTGGTGAGTTTGAACTGCAAACCTTTTGGTTAGCAGCCCAGTACTTATCCTACAGTGCCACATCAGGCCTGCAACCCACTTCTAGACAAACCTAAATTCTGCAAGTGTGCCTTTCCATCCTAAGATAATTCAAGTTTGAATTTTTTCTGAACAGTCAGCTCTTTTGTCCATGTGGCACTTCTTACAAGGTTTTTGCCTCTTGATCAGAGGAAATGTTCAATGTTTGCAAAGCTTTGGGTGTTAAGCCCCAAAACAGTTGTAAAGATCTGTGTCCACAGTTGTATTAGCTGGAGAGAAAACGCTTAACTTCCGCCTGCTATGTGCTCTTGTGTACTATGCACACCTGCTTTCCTGGGAGATCATAATTGCATAGTGCAGTTAGAAAGTGAGACAGATGGTGGAGGTGAAAGAACCAAGATTTTCACTTGACATCTCAACTCTGTCTCTAGCAATATTACCATGGTTACCGATGTCCCATCTCTGAGCTCATGTTTTTATCTGTAGAATGAGAGCATGGCACAAAGTTAGCATAGCCTCTAAACTTCTCTGAGTCTCTGTATTGTTTCTCATTCTGTCTCTATAAACATTGATGTGGCCCATTTGCTCACATTTGTCCCATGTCCACTCTCTTTGCAACAACAACTCTTTGGAAATCTTTTGACCCACCATTCTATACTCATGCAGACATCAACATTATGAAGGTAAACTGGCCATTCTATTGCTTTCAGAAGCTCCTTGGAATAATTTTGTATGAATGATTCATTAGTTTGTTAGGGTTTGGGATTAGATTCAGTAGCAACCTAAGAAAACATTGCTCAAGGTCTTCATGCATCCTTCTTCAACCTTCATGTACCTTTTAGCTTGAACCACTATTCCACTGTTTTGCCTTTGAACATCTTCAAAACCCGTGAGCAGAAATCACTCCATATTTAGTAAGTTGCTAAAATATACAGCATTCTGGGTACCTAGAAGGACCGTACAAACATCTTTGATCTACCTGCTTCCAAAGATATTTTGAGAGTAAGCAGGGCTCATCTTAATATCTCCTACCAGTAACATCATGCACAGATCATATCTGGTCTCCTTCTTAGTTCTGGATCAAGATGAGGAGATTGAGATCTAGATCTAACTGTGTGCTGTTAGGCAATTCTTACTACCATGTAACTTTGCCAGCCAGTGAATCCATGGGAGGGTTAACTCAGAGCCTCTGCCTGAGAAAGATTTAGCCAGGCCCTGGTGTGCCGCTGTACAATCAGCACTGGACTATGAACCACAAGGTTGGTGGTTCAAACCCATGAGTTTACTCCTTGGAAACCCTACACACTATGAGTTGGAACCGACTCGATGGCACTTCACAACTTCTTTCCAGAAGGAAAATCCTGTTCCACCTCAAGAACCTAGAACCAAGCCAACATGTGGCATCACCTCTCTGCTGAGACAGAGTGTAGCAGGAGCAGGCATGGAGACATTTCACGCCTGGCTTCCAAAGATAATCATGTTTAGCGCTTATGTCTTTGGTGAGGGGAAAAAAAAATCAATTTTTGCTGTGGAAAACCATCTGTGTTTATTCAATTGACAGACACTACCTTTCAATCTATCTTAAATTGAGCCTCCCTGAGGCAGGCAGCTCAACAATGATAGATTAAGCAATAAACAATGCGGTCTCCCCACCAAAGGCTGCCACTGGCAGGGAAGGGAGAGGCTAGTAAGATGATCCTCAGGAAGAGAACCCCACTCCCTGGGGCTGAGTCGATGATTCCACATAAATGTGGATGGCTAGAGCCTGCCTTTTTGGCTGCCCTCACTTCCCCCACTGAACCCGGCCTTCCACCTCAGTAACAAGCCTTGGCTCTCCTACTTTGTCCCCACAAACAATTTGGTTTCATCTTGGCAGATGGAGAGCCCTTAGATAAATAAGCTGTTTGGAAGCTGCCGCAGATGAAACAAGCCCAGCTTGTTAGGAAAATACACATTGGACAGAAATAATGAACTTGACATGGGACATGGACATCCTTGAATTATAAAGGCCTTGGATATGCCAAAGGTTGGTTTATTGGTTTCAGAATCTTTTAATGCGGCAAATGGCTTCTGGCCATAGAGATTAGCTTTGTTTGGGGACTACAAGTTGAATGACTTCCGCAGTCTGTGGACTAAAAAGCCGCTAAGTCACTTTTCCCGGAGGCTGTTCACAGTGGCTCCTCCTGGGAGCCTGACAATGTGACGGCAAAATGAACAGCACGCACCCAATTGTGGTGGGAACTGAGGGATGGAAACTTCTGTGCCATTTGTGCCCTTCACATCCCCACCAGGAGGGAGGCTGGTTAGAGAGCAGTTTAGAAATAGCCCTGGGTGGCTGGGGTAATGGAGCACATTTTGCACATGGGTTGGATCTTTGGCCACATTTTCATGAAGTGGATTAACAAGTGAAAACACAGATCTCCACTCTCTTGGGACTAGGCTTTGTGTAAACTATTCAAAGAAACCAAGCCTTAAAAAGCTCTTCTTTATTCTGTATCTGGAAGACACTGCTCCTCTCAGCCCCCACCCCCAAACACAAACAGATGACAATTTTAGTATCACACAATCTCTTACCCTCACTTTCATCTTCTAAGACACCCTTTGTGAGGTGAAGGGGAGGGAAGGGCAAGCATTCATTCCAGTTGAATAGAGCCAGAGCAATTGACAAATACCATGCTGAGAAGATTTTTCTCTTGTTAAAAAATTTAAATGTTACATGTATACCTACTCCTCATTTAAAGACTATCTCTTTACCTGGCATTTCACATTTATAACAATAGTAAAAATTTATTCTCTGGCTACTTTATACAATAACAATGTACGTCTGGTAGTAAAACTGAGGTTTGAGGCAAAAGTAATATTGTCTGGGTAAGGTTATGTGTCAGCTTGGCTGGGCCATGATGCTTAGTGGTTTGGCTGTTATGTAATGATGTAATTTGGCAGTTATATAATGACGTGATCATCCTCCATTTTGTGATCTGATGGCCATCCTCTATTTTCAAATAATGACAACTTTCACATATACAGGAGCATCCGAGA